GTTCTCCCCCTCATCTCCTCCTAAACCATCCCTAAACCCTTTCCCAAGCTCAGTGGGGTAGATTTATCCAAGGACAAAACCCCTCCCTTACAACCAAACCCCCTCCCTCCAGCACGGCCACGTCCCGATCATTCCACTCACCTAAAATTCATCCACAAACCCCAAAAAAACCCCAAAACCCCCAAACCAACCACTCAGGAAGACCAAACCAGGTTTAAATCAATCCTAAATCCCCTCATCCCACACCTCCTCTGCCGTGCTGATGAAGCGCCTGGGGGTCTTCTTGGGGCTCAGGAGGCCGCGCCGGCACGAGGGGCTGGGAGAGGCTTTGAGGGGAAAGGCCGAGCCGTGGCAGTGGTGGTTGGACTTGCCCCCAAAACTGTTGGAGGTGCTGCTGGAAAAGAGGGGAAAAAAAGGGAGAAAAGGGGAAAAAAAAAAACAAGGAAAAAAAAAAACCCACCAGGGAAGTTTTTGGTTTAACGAGGATGGGGTCCCGGAGTCGGAATGAGCTTAAGGAGGGGTTAAAGATGGGTTTAAGGTGGGTTTAAGAGTGGTCTTGAGGTGGCTTAAAGGTGGGGGTTAAAATGGGTTTAAAAATGGTCTTAAGGTGGCTTAAAGAATGGGTTTACAACGGTCTTAAGAATGGGGTTAAGGATGGTCTTAAGGTAGATTAAAAGCGGCTTAAAGGAGGGGTTTAAACCAGGTTTAAGAATTGTTTTAAGGTGGCTTAAAAAATGGGTTTAAAAATGGGTATATAAATGGTGTCAAGACTGTTTTAAGAACGGTCTTAAGGTGGTTTAAACACTGGGTTTAGGAACAAGTTTGGGAATGGTTGATGCCCAGAAGGCCTCCTGGGCACCCCTGGGCTCATTTGGGCACCCCTGGGCTCATCTGGGCTCCCCTGGGCTCATTTGGGCACCCCTGGGTCCCCCCGTTCTCTGTCCCCTGTCCCCCCATCCCACCCCACGGGAGTTTCCCTCCCCCCAGCCCCGCACCCACCTGGGATTTTTGCGGGATTCCAGGAAGGAGCCCCTGCTGAGCCGGGGTTTCTGCAGCCCCGAGGCCCCCACGGCCCCCGAGCTCCTCCACTGCCCGTTGGCTCCGCAGCCCAAGGGCCGGCACTGCCGGCACAAACCCGCCAACTCCGCAGGATCTGCGGGGACACCGACACTCAGGGACACCCACGGACACTCAGGGACACCCACGGACACCCACGGACACTCAGGGACACCCACGGACACTCAGGGACACCCACGGACACGCAGGGACACCCATGGATGCTCATGGACACTCAGGGACACCCACGGACACCCACGGACACTCAG